AGCCACATCGACATGTTTGATCCATGTTTACATCGACATGTTTGATACATGTTTACAGTTGGTCCATATTTACATCGTCCAGCAAAAACAATACTGGGGACCCATAATTAACATCCATATTGAAATCAAAGAATAAAAAATTAATTAAAGTCCTATTGCCACCCAAATTATTGGCGTACTGGCAGCCGATTCCCATCACTGGCCTAGCTTGTGGCATTGCTCATATGAAGGCACTCCCGGTACTCTGCGATCTTTGCATTATTGACATCCATAACGATGTCAACCAACAACTTATGACGCACAGAGGGAGCGAACTTTGTCCACAAAAATTGTAAGACAAATCAGTTAAAATTGGAGGACGTACGAGGAAGGATTTGATTGACAAATGGAAATGAAGCGGTAGAATGTACCTTGTGTGGACCGGGGCTTAAATCAGGTTGCTGCATGAATTTGATGACGAACATCCCACAGTCAAACGTGCTACAAAAATAATTTCACATTAAAGTTGTCGTCAATACGTAATAGGTTCGTTAAGTCAGTCATGCAGCTTAGACATTAATGTGAGGGAGGGATTGTGGATTACTCGTCCAGTTGTTGTACTGGCCTCTCGTCTAACATGCAGCGATGGAAGCTACGCACGTCTGTAACATAATCATTTCCAAAGTGTAGTTGCAGCAAGTCGTGTATAGTTTCAACCTGTTCCACGAGGTTGAAGTTGGTTTACGTAAAGGATGTTCAAGTTTTTTGTAGTGTTCAGAAATGCACCAGAAGGACATACCAAAATTTTAGCTGCATTTAGCTTCCTTTTGTTCGGTCGGTTAGATGGGACTGAGTCGAATAGGTAGGCTACACGGTCCACCATATCAATTTTAACGCACAACCAATGCACTCCTCTGTAATTGAAAGGCATGTAAATCTACACGAAAACACAACGGCAGACCTTGTTTAGAGGCCATGCAAACATGTAATGGCTTTCATATTTTCGTTTTAATATAACGGGATGAACATTGATATTACCCTCTGGCATGCATCAATCGCACCAGTGTATCTGTCATGTCCGAAAAATGATGTGACGATATGTTCATGGTGCAGAGGTTGCATATCTTTATTTAGAATCATAGTCTGCATGTGTAATGCGTAAAGGTCATTGACGGAAACATTTGTCAAAATATGTCATACACAATACACAACGTAGCTTTAAACACTTACTTACCGACAGATATACAGGAAAGAACCAATCAGTGTGCCTCCTGTCATTGTGTAAATCCCTCTGTCGATTAGTCAATTGCACCACCACCAAGTTGATTGGCTGGAACATTGTATGCAAGACACAAGGCAAGTTGATTAGAAAGGTTTCTGAGTTAGGGGTACTGAAAAACGCAGATTCATATTTGTGCAGCCAACACTTACAGTGTCGGATAGCCACGACCCTGGTTTGAGCGTGCGCATGTCACGCCGGGTGCCAACTTCACATGCCCGTCCATGAAGATTCATGGAAACAACAATGTCCCTACAAGCAATAAATGATCCTTAGAACGATAGTTATTTCACAGTGGACTGTCATTGAAAATTTGCAAGTAGTAAATGAAACAATGCATTTCATTTTTGCTATCGTTAAATACATAGTGAAGAAGTTTTTGTTCCTCCGCCGATAACAACCCTTCGCTGTCCAACATCGTCAACGAGTCCTACAAAAATAAACAGCCAACTAACAGTACACATTTCATAAAAATATTGAAGCTTATATTACAAGGTCTGTAGTCATAAAAAAAGAACGTGAAATGATGTAAAAACTGTGAGCCTCAGAGTTTTCCCAACTTGTGATGTTTGGTGCGGAGTTTGTTAGAAATGTGTACTAACATATGGCAGCAGTCATAACTGCAAACATGCAATTCTTTGACAACTAGTACAATAGAACACAGATGATTGTAAAATTACTGATTCATATTATTGATGTGGGCATGAATTGGGTATTCACAACTTGTGGGGGATTAAAGGCAGTATTTGTACCTTGCTCACGTTGTCCACACCATCAACATCCACAGGTGAACTGCTGTCGTCAACTCCACTATTTGTTTTGCTATCGATGCACAATTGCATATCCCCGACCTCAGTGGCTTGAACTCCACTTCCGCGCATTTTTCCTTTTCCTTTTCCTTTTCGTCTTCCCTTTGGACTTCCTCTACCGATTCCAGTTGCTTCCAATGGTTTTCCAAGCTTAGTAGGAGAAGTATGCACATCGCACGCCACGTTCTTCACGCCCACTGACTGAAGGTCAGGACTGTATTTATCTTCAGTTTCATATGTTTCCCCTGACTGAAGGCCTCCCTTCTTGTTGTTGTCCCCACCTTCTTCGATGTTCAGCTTGTGCCCATCATGCAAATGACTTTTGTCCCTTGCCAAGGTTCCCTTCAAAATATGTTGTTGGTGATCCACCCCTTGTACATTTGAAATATTACACTCCATTGGGTTAACTTCGTCCGATGGTTTGACCACGCCATCCTCATGCGCCTCGACTCCAACAGCAGGGTCCACACCCTGTTTGGCCACACCTGCCGGTTGCGGTGTAGAGAATATACCTTCGATGAGGTGGTGTAGCATTTGCTTCAGTTCACGTAAATTGGTTTGTTCAGTGAACAGTTCGTTGTAGCCCAAACTGAAACGTTGAAGCAGTTGCTTCAGCATTTCCTTCAGTTGAGCAACATTGGAGGAGAGGTTAATGATACACACATCATTGCCTTCCACCTAATCATACATACACATTCGTGAACTTAGTCTTACAAACCATCTTCAAATGATGTGGCTCAACTTTGTGAAAATTGCGTAATGCTTGGATGGATTACCTTGTCATTGCGAACAACTTGCTTGCCTTCGAAATGTCGCAACATCTCCATTAAATCTGTTTGGTTGTGGAGAACTTGCTTCATCATTTCCTTCAGTTCACGAATGTCGGACTCCAAATTGGTCATACGAACTTCATTGTACTGTCCTGTTTGTTGGTTCTCGACATGGCATGCATCCATGTCAACATCATCGGCGTTACTGTAATCAAACTCCACCTAATCATAGAAACGCATAAATGAAGTCTGACATTGTATGTTGAAGACAAGTGGGTCGATGGTGTGAAATGTGCACAGTGGTAGGAGTGCGAAAAATGATGTGACGATATGTTCATGGTCCAGAGGTTGCATATCTTTATTTAGAATCATAGTCTGCATGTGTAATGCGTAAAGGTCATTGACGGAAACATTTGTCAAAATATGTCATACACAATACACAACGTAGCTTTAAACACTTACTTACCGACAGATATACGGGAAAGAACCAATCAGTGTGCCTCCCGTCATTGTGTAAATCCCTCTGTCGATTAGTCAATTGCACCACCACCAAGTTGATTGGCTGGAACATTGTATGCAAGACACAAGGCAAGTTGATTGTTGAGAGTATGTTGTTTGGG